TCATCTCCCCCCCCCCCCCTTTACCTTGAGTACCCCTCCTACTTAAACAAGGATTAAGGAAGGGGGAAGGACATCTCTAGTCCAACAAGAATAGTAACACTGAAAAGAACAGCTTGGAGACAAAAAGATACCAAGACCTGAAACCCTAATAATAGAAGCAGTTGGCCACAGGCACACACAACCCATGAAGAAAGCACTCCCATTTCCAATAAGCCTGCGCTGTTGTATTAAAAATTGATAAATATTTAACATACTGCTCCTCCTAATCAATATGTATTAGCCCACTCTTAAGAAGACACTTATAAAGGCTTATAACCTTTATAAGCCCCAGTGCACCTCAGTTCCAAAGGGTCTTCTCCACTTTGGAGACAGACCTGCTTGTCTTTGAACTGTATTCTTCGTTTTGACTTAATCTATGGCCCCAGTTCTACCAGGTCTACGAGACGTGGCGACTTGGGACTAATTCTTTAGACCCCTGAGAGCGGGCGGGACCAGGGAAAACTGACAACTCTTGTCAAGGTCACTTTGAGGAGCTCTCTGGGCAAGGGATCTGCTTCCCACCAGTAACTACTTTTCCCTTAGGGAGCCTCCTGCTTCACCCTCACCAGTCCCTTTGTTGTTGTTGTTAAGTGCCATAGAGTCGATTCCGACCCTTAGCGACCCTATACAGGGTTTCCAAGGCTGTAAATCTTGGCGGTAGTAGAAAGCTTCACCTTTCTCCCGCGAAGCGGCTGGTAGTTTCAAACTGCTGACTTAAAGGTTCACAGCCCAATTCGTAACCACTACGCTACTTGAGTACAATAAGTCCACTCCTTTTCCACTGTCTGAACAGCTGTCTCATTGGTCAACCACACCTGGTAAGGGCCCTCTCATTCCCGCTGGAGTCTGTTCTCTTTTCAGGTCTAGAGCAGCACTAAGTCTCCAGATCAGAAGTGATGAACGGTGAATTCGAAGGAATGGGTTTGAACCAAGAGTCCTTTTAACCTGAAGGTTAGCAAAGCAGAAAGGGCCAGTATGTAGTTTCTCAAGAAGCCTAAGTAGGGGAGCCTATGGCATGGTATTTAGGGTGATATTTTTAATACAGAAACAGCAATTTCATGAAAAAAAAAAAAAAATTGTCTAGGTCAGTATTTACTTAAGTGCCTGTTTAGTATGATGTGCTTAAATTTGACTCCCCTCACTCCCCCAAATATTATATGTGATTGTCAAGATCTATCATTGTTGAGTGTTGTCTGGTCAATTTCCGATTCATTGCGACCTTATATAGAGTTTCCCAGAAGTAACTGGTGTTTTTGAACTGCTGATCTTGATGTTAGCAGTCCAGTGCGTATCCCACAGTGCTGTACCAGGACTTCCAAGATCTGTTAGACCCCCTTATTTACTGAGTAGAAAACTTAGACAGAAGGAATTGTTAAACATCTGCAAGACTTGAATTTCTCCATCAAACTATGTATTTCAATGTAAAGAAAACAAATGTTCACCACTGGACCAGTTGTCAAGGACTTCATTCTTCTTGGATCAGCTATCAACACTCACTGAAGCAGCAGTCAAGAAATCAAACGATGTATTGCATTAGGCAAACCTGCTGCACAAGACCTTTTTAAAGTGTTGAAGAGCAAAGATGTCAGCTTGAGGACTAAGGTGTGCCTCACAAGCCATGGTATTTTCAATAACCTCATATGTATTCAAAAGCTGGACAGTGAATAAAGAAAACTGTAGAAGAATTGATGCCTTTGAGTTATGGTGTTGGAGGAGAATATTGAAAATGCCATTGGCTGCCAAAAGAACCAATAGATCCATTTTGGAAGAAGTGTAGCCAGAGTACTCTTTGGAGGCCAAGATAGCCAAACTTCGTCTCATACTTAGGATATACTATCAGGAGGGAGCAGTCGCTGAAGAATGATATGTTTGGTAAGATGGAGGGTCAGAGAAAAAGAGGAAAACCCCCAGCAAGGTGTATTGGCCAAGTGGCAGCATCAATGGACTTAAGCATGGCAACAGTAGTGAGGTTGGCCCAGGATTGGGCAGTGTTTTGTTGTGCTATGCATAGGGTCGCTATGAGTCGGTATCGACTCAGTGGCACCTAACAACATATGATGTAGTCCTGGTGTGGTATGGTGCCATAGGATAAGCGCTAGACCTCAAGGTTGGTTTGAGCCGTTGACTGTGTGATTCAAACTGACCTAGCGCGGTCCAGGGCTTTATCCTACAGCACCACACAGGAGTCCCATTCAGATCTTGAATTTCATCCATAGTTGAAAATAGGAGTTCAGAGAATGAAAGTGGCCTTGTTTTTGTTTGGCATATCTGGTAGTGCAGTGGTTACGGGTTGGGTTGTTAACCTCATGGTCAGCAGGTCATACCAGGAGAAAGATGAGGCTTTCTGCTCTATCCATAAAGATTTACAGCCTTGGTAACCCTATGCATGGCACATAGGCCTCTCTTTATTTTAAGTAACATTAAAATAAATAAATAGATTAAAAAGCACGCTGCAAAAACAGTGCGGAGGCTATATCTGAATTCTTTTGCTTCACAAAGGAGAAGGAAAATCAAATCTCAGAATTAGAATGATTCTTATGAAGCAGAGGTCATACATGCTTACACCCTACAACCTTCTTTATTCTGACACCAGACATTCCTCCCACAGCACTGTCTCCTTTAAATTTGAGTTCAATAATCCATTGCAGTGGCCATACAGAACTTGTAACAATACTTATGATTATGGAGTTTATTAGTATGGAAGAAAACAGGGTAAAATTCAGGATCAGAAAAACAATTCAGCATGCAGCAATTCTCCAATCAGGAATGTCTCTTCTCTGTTAGGTGGCAGACATACCTCACTCTTGTCTTCACCTTCTTAGACTTGGGGCTTTGCCCTGCTTGGGCAGGTGTCACAAAGTTTTTTAGTGTCACAAAATTTTTTTAGCCATTCTGTGAATCCCCAAAGAATACTTGGCAACCCAGTGCTCAGCTTTATGTAGTTCCTGGACCTAGACCCTATAGCTGCTTTTTCTCTCCCTGTATCTGCCTCTGCTGTCACTGTTTTTCTAGTTAGGGGTCCTCACACTTCACTCAGCGTTCTTCCTTTTTGATGGTCCTGTGACATTCTGTTTCTGCTTTTGAGATGGCTCTTTTTAAACATGGCTGGGTGGAAAAATTAATCAATCCCAGCTTTAAAGTCCTGTACACCTTATTTGCGTGGCCCCACCCAGTCACTTGATGGGAATTAAGACATAGGATAGAAAAGTCCTGTCAGGTAAATTCAAGGTACTGCACACCCCAATGGAGTAGTCCTTGTGTGGTGCTGTGGGTTAATGAGCTGGATTACAAAGTCAATTTAAACCACAAGGTTTGTGGTTCAAGCTCAGCAGTCAATTCTCGAAAACCCTTTATAGGGTTTCTATGAGTCAGAACCAAATGAACCGCACTTAACAACAACAACATGAACCCCAATAATACAGATTTATTTTAGAAAAGTACAGATAAGCATTCTTGCTGTACAACAAATTTGTGATACCCCATTCCAAACATACGTAATGTTCGTATTTGTTGTTATTAAGTGTCATGGAGTCAGATTTGACTCACAGTGACCCTGTATAGGACTAAATAACTTGGGTCCGTTTCTAAATGTTTTAGTCTTGTTTGCTTCTTTTGGTCACTGATTTTTTTCCCTTTGGGATCTGATCTGCACAAGTTTCCATATCTTGGGAAAATAATAATTCCTCTCAAGGATTTTTTTTGTTGTTGTTGTTAATGTTTCTTGCCTTTCTTTCTCTGTCTAACCTCCATCAGTTGTATATCTTTTTAAAATTTTCTTTCAGTTTTCTTCCTTAGACAACTTTGTATTTTTGTAGTTTTTATTCTATTGAGAATATTGTCTTTGCTGCATTCAACTTTTATGACTTGTCTATTCAAACACAGGCTCCTATTTTCCTTTTCATGGTGGAACTTTATAGCATGTTAATAATGAAATGTAATTTTTTTCTTGAAATAGTGACTTTCTTTGACTCGTCTGTTGAGCCGCCCTTTTTCCTTTTGTATCTAAATACCCCTCTTTCAAGAATGTTTGTCTACATGAGTTAATTTTGTTGTAAGTCCTTTTTAGAACTGGTGAAAACTCTCGGCTTTTCTTACATTGTGTCTGTGTGGAAATGCACTTATAATTGATTATGGGTCATAGTTACAGATCTAAATCCCACCTGACTAATTAGACCCATACCCAGTGACCTCCAAATGTTTTTGGTTGTGTAACACATACATTTGCACTTTTCCCCTCAAAATTATCTCTGTTGTTGTGAAGTGCCGTCAAGTCGATTCCGACCCATAGCGACCCTGTATAGGGTTTCCAAGGAGACCAACCTTGCAGTTCAGCTCACTTTGCAATCTGATGCATTAGACCACAGCGCCACACCAGGACTCCTAAGCATACTTTAATTTGGAGTCCTGATGTGGGGTTGTACACTGCTGACTGCACTAGCCACTCCTGAAACCCTATATAGGGTTGCTATAAGTCAAAACGACTCTATGCAATACAGCATGTACACAACGGTGCACAACTTTAATCTGGAATAGTTCCTCAGTGTTTATATTTTACAACATTGGTGCTTCAGGAGAATTTATGGTTTGGACCCTTAGTTTGGGTGTACCTGATAATTTCCTCGTAATTAGATGAAAGAGTGTGCCAGTTTCTTTTGTGCTATTTTGTATTACTGTTTTTATGATCTAAATAACAAGCTCCTTGGAGGTCAGGTTTTTATACGCCATGGCTTCTGTGTAGTAAGTGTGTAAAAATAAATGCTTAAAAAGTGCTGTTGGATTGGTTGCAACTCTTAGAGAATTTGTATAGACAGTTTCTAAGGAGCGGCTGGTGCGCTTGAACTGCTGACCTTGTGGTTCAAACCAGCCTTGCGGTTAAGTGCTTTATCCTACAGTGACACATTTGGACAGCAAAATGCTTAATGGTATTCTGATGTTTCCCTGATTAAATTTTTTTTTTCCAGATGGAGAGCTTAATGTTCTCGATGATATTCTGACTGAAGTACCAGAGCAGGATGATGAGCTGTATAACCCAGAAAGTGAACAAGATAAAAATGAGAAAAAGGGTATGTAAAGTTTCTGTTATTTTGCTAAATAATAACAGTGAAAATAGAAGAGATATAATTTCTGAAGAAAATGGCTTTTGTATTTGTTTCTTGAGGTAGTTCACATCAAAAGGATGTCATAACAAGCTACCCTAGTTCATATGAAACTTCTCAAATATATGAGCTTCATTTATTTGAAAGCTGTGTTTTGTTTAGATTAACTTTGAAATACAGATAGTTCAGAAGATATTTTAAAGAAATATTTTTTCTCTGATGTATATTATATGTTAATCACTGTTAGAAACTAGAATATCAGAAACATTTTCATGTGTCATTAAATTGTTTTTTTAAGGATCAAAAAGAAAAAGTGACCGAATGGAATCTACTGACACCAAACGACAAAAGCCTTCTGTTCATTCACGACAATTGATTTCAAAGCCACTGAGCTCATCTGTTAGCAACAACAAAAGAATAGTTAGTACTAAAGGAAAGTCACTTACAGAGTACAAAAATGAGGAATATCAAAGATCTGAAAGAAACAAACGTCTAGATGATCGCAAGATCCGTTTGTCAAGCAGTGCCTCTAGAGATGCTTACAAGAGTCAACCTGAAAAGACTTGTCTCCGGAAAAGGGATCCTGAAAGGAGGGCCAAATCCCCTACACCAGATGATTCTGAGGTAGTAAATGTTATTGCACATATAAAACAGAAAAGCATTTCTTTTTGAGGCTTTTAGAACTATTTATTCACCTTGACCTTGTCTGTTATATGACTGCTGATTGCCTTTTTCTTTAAACATCAGAGAATTGGTCTTGATGTGGATAGACGTGCGAGCAGATCCAGCCAATCTTCTAAGGAAGAAGTGAACTCTGAAGAGTATGGCTCCGACCATGAGACTGGCAGCAGTGGTTCTTCTGATGAGCAAGGCAACAACACCGAGAATGAGGAGGAAGGAGTGGAAGAAGATGTGGAGGAGGATGAAGAGGTAGAAGAAGACGCAGAGGAAGATGATGAGGTGGATGAAGATGGAGACGAGGAGGAAGAGGAGGAGGAGGAGGAAGAAGAAGAAGAAGAAGAATATGAGCAGGATGAAAGAGATCAGAAGGAGGAAGGAAATGATTATGACACTCGAAGTGAGGCCAGCGACTCAGATTCTGAATCTGTTTCCTTCACAGATGGATCTGTTAGATCTGGTTCAGGCACAGATGGATCAGGTACTATTTATATGCAAAAAGTCCTTTTTTTTTGTTTTATAACAATTTTTATTCTTTTACTGCATGCTTACATTTTTCAAACTCTCAGGAGTTTGGAGGATTGTTAATACCTTTGTCTTATAATCTTCTATAGTCAATTATTTGCTTTCGAGCTTTACAAATACATTTGAATAATCTTAATGAAGATGTTTCCCAACTGCAAATTGTGTTATAAATGAGCACAAGTCTGATCCTTTATTTTTTTATAAAGAGTTGTTTTCAGGTTTTATTGTTTTAAGTTCTTAGAGTTTCATATCAGTTGACTAGTAATAGATTAGAAGTACATTCACGTGGAACTTGTCTACTCTGTATTACATTTCCCTAGTAAAATGCCTTTAGATTTCTGTCACATGGGAAGAGAATCAAAACAACTTCTTTCTTTTTGCTCTTGGAGCACAAACTTCTAATTCTGTGTCTTTGTGACCTGAGTCATGTGCTAGAGGACTGGGGTGTAAGGATATGGGTTGCAAAAGATAAACGATTCTTGTGGAGAGACTGGGTAAGAATCATCTTGGATTATTTAATATCACATGTTCTAGGAAATATAAGCAAAGAGAAATTATGGTACTTAAACGTCCCTGATGGTGATGCTTGTACTCTTGTTTTATGCTGTCAGATTTGCCACATAAGCAAAATGTACTAAAAATAAACACGAGGAGCTACAGAAAAAAAAAAAAAAAAAGTCCATAAGGTGCTGTGGTAACTAGTGGTTACTAGTTGGGCTGCTTAACTCATGGTCAGCAGTTCAAAACTACTAGCCCTTCTGTGGGATACAGGTGAGGCTTTCTGCTCTTGTAAAGATTTGCAGCCTCAGAAATCCCATACAGGGTTGCTGAGTCGGAACCGACTTCACGGGATACCACCACCACTACAAAAAGTCCATGGGAAAATTCCATTTTCTTTAGGATTCATTTTTTCACAAACCTTTTGAAGTTATGAATCGGGCTGTGATCCGCATGGTCAGCAGTTCAAAACTACCAGCTGTTCCACTGGAGAAAAATGAGGCTTTCTGCTCCTGTAAAGATTTACAGCCTCGGAAACCCTGTACAGGGTTACTGTGAGTCAGAACCGACTCTACAGCACATAACAACCACCACCACCATATAATAGTACATTATTACTAAATCATGTTCTTGATATATAGAGCAAATGGCCAGCTATGTTCTAGTCATCGGCAACAAATATTTTTGGAACCTTTTGCTCTCTGGAATTCCTGGATTGGCAGATGGCTTTAAAGACGGTTAAAAAAAAGTTCAATGTATGAATTGTTAATGTAAAAACTAGAAGGAAGCTTTAGTTCTGTTTTCTCTTAATGCTTTTTGCAAATGGATGGGCTATATCTTTTTAAAGCTTAAAATGGTGGATAGGGACCAAAAATGGCATTGGTAAAATTAATTCCTGCTCATTTATTGTGGATAATGTTTGAAACCACTTATTAGGAGAGGAAGCATTTTGTGACAGGAATCTTTTTGGTGTCTGTATTAGAAACGGTTTCTCAGACTTGAATGTTTAGCATTTTTAATTAAAAATGAACGAGGGGTGGGTCATTTAATAAGTAGGGCCTGAGATAGTCTGTACTTTTAAAAGCGTCCCAGGTGATGCCCATTTGTAGAAAGGCGGATGTTGTTAAGTACCATGGAGTCAGTTCCAACTCATAGTGACCCTGCACAGGGTTTCCGAGGCTACAGATCTTTACAGGAGCAGAAAGCCTCATCTTTCTCCCTTGGAACACCTGATAGTTTCAAATTGCCGATCTAGAGGTTAGCAGCCCGATTTGTAACCACTACGCCACCAGAACGAACGCCTTAGAAAAGCAGATAATGGTACTTAATTTTGTGGAGAAGACATTTCAAATTGAAAGGTACTTTTAAAAAACCTTGTATTAAAACTGAATACAAGAGATTTATTGTTTTAGCTAAACTACCTGGAACCTTTATTTTTCAAACTAAAGGTTCATGTGAAACATGCTTTAGATGTGTAATTAATATGCAAGGAATTGTTGACTTTTTTTGTGAATTAGTAATTTTCATAATGCATGGAACTCTGGTTAGGTTGTTGTTGTTGTTGTTGTCAGGTGCCATCGAGTTGGAACCGATTCATAGTGACCCCATGCACAGTAGAACGAAACAATGTCTGATCCTGGGCCAACCTCACTACCGCTGCCACACTTGAGTCCATCAATGCCGCCACCTGGCCAATCCATCTCGTTGGGGGTCTTCATCTTTTTCTCCAACCCTCCATCTTACCCTAAGCATGATATCCTTCTCTAGCGACTGTTACCTCCTGACAATATGTCCAAAGTATGAGAAACGAAGTTTAGCCATCTTGGCCTCTAAGGAGCACTGTGGCTGCACTTCTTCCAAAACAGATCTATTGGTTCTTTTGGCAGTTGATGGTACTTTTAATATTCTCCTCCAACACCACAATTCAAAGGCATCAATTCTCCTACGATCTTCTTTATTAGCTGTCCAGCTTTCGCATCCATAGGACATTATTGAAAATACCGTGGCTTGGGTCAGGCGCACCTTAGTTTTCAAGCTGACATCTTTGCTTTTCAACACTAAAAAGTTCCTGTGCAGCAAATTTGCTTAATGCAGTATGTCGTCTGATCTCTTGACTGCTGCTTCCACGAGTGTTGATAGTTGATCCAAGAAGAATGAAGTCCTTGACAACTTCAATCTTTTCTCCGTTGATAAG